TTTCATTTTTTGCATTTATTTATTATTTCTTTATTTATTTTGTGTGTATGGGTGTATGCATGTGAATGTGCCACAGCATGTGTATGTGATGGTCAGAGGACAACTAGCAGGAGTCAGTCTTCTCCTTCCATCATGTGGGTTCAGAGAATCCAATTCAGGTCCTTAGTCTTGGTGGCCAGCGCTTTTTTACCTTCTGAGTCCTCTCGCTGGCACTAGGTATGCGGTGTTTGGTTTGTTTGGTTTTTGTTTTAAACTCTGAAGCAAAATAGGATATTAGTGCCTGCTGATAGAGGTCATGGCTATAGGAATTATTTTCTGTTTTTGCTTTAGGATTTAATAGCTTTTTAAGTTCTTATTTATTTTTACCATGTTTACTTATTTGTGTGTGTTCATTCATTTAAGTGGGGGGCATGCATGCCACAGCATGCTTGTGGAGGTCCAAGGACAACTTACTGATGTTGAGTCTCTGCTTCTTCTACTGTGTAGGTCCCCAAGGTTGAACTCAGGTCATCAGCTTGGTGGCAGGTACCTTTACCTTGCTGGCCCTTTCATAATTTTTATATGAAATTTTAATTGTAGATCCACATGCAGTTGTAATAAACAGAATAGAGAGATCTCCTCATATACCCTCTACCCAGATTCCCCCAGTGATAATTTTCAGAGCTACATAAGTATGGTAGCCCAGCCAGGGTATGGACAGTGACGTAATCTACCAATTTTATTCAGATTGTTTTTTTCTGTTTTACTTGTACTTAACTATGTGTGTATTTTTGTTCTGTGTAATTTGTCACAGGTGTAGGTTTGTGTGTTCACTATCGTCATTACAATACTGAATGCTTCCTTCATTATAAATATCTTTTTTTAAATTTATTTTATATGTGTGAGTGTATTGCCTGCATGCATGTGAGTACACCCATGTCATGCAGTGCCTCAGAGATCAGAAGAGGGCTTCGGATTCCTCTGGAACTGGAGTTAATGTAGCCGCCATGTGGGTGCTGGGAGTCGAACCTGGGTCCTCTGCAAGAGCAGTCAGTGCTCTTAACCGCTGAGCCATCTCTCCAGCCTCCATTATAAATATCTTTATATTGCAAATTTATTTATTTAGTTATTTTGTCTTTTTGAGACAGGGTCTCCCTGTAGCCACTTCTGGCCTGGAACTTGCTATGTAGACCAGGCTGGTCAACACCCACATCTATAAAACATGCACACCATTGCTAACCCCTGGCAGCTACTAGCCCCTGGCCGTATATTGCAAATTTATAACAACACCCACATCTATAAAACATGCACACCATTGCTAACCCCTGGCAGCTACTAGCCCCTGGCCGTATATTGCAAATTTATAACAACACCCACATCTATAAAACATGCACACCATTGCTAACCCCTGGCAGCTACTAGCTTGTTCTCTACTTCTGTTGTCTTCTCCATTTGATTTTTCATTAGTGTATAGATGGAGTCATCTGGTTTGTAACCTGTTGGGGGTGGCTTTTTTCATTTAGGATCATTCCCTTTGGAGCCATCTAAGCGGTGGCCTGTGTTGATAGTTATTCCTTCTTACTGCAGTGGTGGTTCATGGTATAGCTGTGCCAGTTTGTTGCACCACTTCATAGAGTGACTTGTGGGTTGTTTCCAGTTTAGGGCTGAAATTAATAACACTGCTAGAAACATTGGTGCACAGGTTTGTGTGTAGATATAAGGTTTCATTTCCCTGGGATAAATACCCATGAGTGCCATCACTCGGTCTTATGGTAATTGCGTGTCTAATTTTATAAGAAACTGACTGCAGACTTTTCCAGAGGGGCTATGCCTACTTTATAATGTTCGGAAAAAGATTTCAGCTGGTAGGGCAGATAATTCAAATGGAGAAGAGAAGCATGGAGATGTCTAGAGTCAGAAAGTGCACGTTCATAGGACAGCATAGTGCTTTATATTGCTGGTATGAGGCTGGGTTTAGCTGAAGAGAGAACATTTGTTTACTATCCTTTTGCTTACTGAGCTCTCATATGTTCCAAGCACTGATGTAGACACAATGAAGGTACTGCCACCAGAGCCTGGACCAGCAGAAAACATGATACATGTGAAATGATTACAGAATGCATACTCTGTGATGGAGAACGCATCTAGAGACCTTTGGTCTCTCTCGTGAGGGTTTGGACCATGCTGATCTCATTCTCCCTGGGTCCTGACACATAGTAGACAGTATTTGTCAAGTGTTGAATGACTGTCCTAATCCCATGTGGAGTCCCTGTGAATGGGACCAACATTGCTTCTGTAAGTAGCTTCATGTCTCAGTCCCGACGTGTGGGTAAAAGGGTAAAGGCTTGGTCCAGACACCCCACCCTTGAGTGAATTATCACACCACAGATTAGAAGCCAGCATGGTATATAAAAGGTTGGAATGCTCTACTGTAAATTTTTAATTGTTAAACAAGCAAAAAAGGTTGTAAATTCCGTGTGGCAGGAACAGTATTGCATATTGTGCCTGCTGTCTCCACCAAGGTTTCTTATCAGCCCGTTGAGATTTCACAACCTCTGCATCTCTTGCGTGCTACAGGGGCCTCTCTGCAGGGTCTGAGCCATGGTGCAGTGCCATCCCTTTTCCCATGGGGGTGGAAGCTGGGCTCTCTCAGTGTCTTCTGTCTAACTTCCCCTTATTCCATTTTATGCCTAGATTTTCTCCAAAGGAACACCCAGTGCTCGCACTGCCAGGGGCCCCAGCCCAGTTCCCTGTCCTGGAGGAACACAGGTCACTCCACAAGTACATGGTGTGGTCAGACGAGATGGTGAGGACAGGAGAGGCCCAGATTAGCACCCACCTCATCCGACCCTATGTGGGCATCCATCTGCGCATTGGCTCCGACTGGGTAACTTCTGTTTCCTCTCTCTGGCTGACTCGAACATTTACCTAACCAGAGCCCAGGCCTGTGGTGATTGTCATCAAGTCTCAGCCTGGAGCAGGGAGAACTAACTTGGCCAAGTCTAGGATTATGTCCCATCATCTGCTACCATGCACAGGTCCAAAGCATCTAGAGTACTTGCTGACAAGCTGTCATTTAACAACTGCCATTGTACTCTTGTTTTGCAGATGGATAAACTGAGGCATCAAGTCAGATTCCAAGTCAGGCAGAAAGGTAAAGAGAGGCCCTCAGCCTAGGAGTCCTCTGTCCTAGCTTGGTGGTTAGCTAATAGATTCCTTGTTGAAAAGCAAACTATGGAGACAGGGTGGGGCTCCTGAGAAATGAAGATGTCATCCCCTCAGAATTTGGAGGCTGTCTAAATGTGCAGAACATCATCCGATTATCATCTGTGAAAACATCAGAACCAATATGAATAATCCCCTTTGTTTACCTAAGGAGATGACAGACAGACGATAGATAGATGATAGATAGATAGATAGATAGATAGATAGATAGATAGATAGATAGATAGATAGAAATGCACATCACTGAAAAGTGAAAAATTCTGAAACATAGAAATTGTTTAAAATTCATTAATAGGACGGGAAATGTAGCTCAGTAGTAGAGTGCTTACCTTGTATAGACAAGGCCCCAGGTCTTATCCCTAGCACCACACACACAATTAGTACAGTTGATGAGGTAATATTACAGTTGGCCTCTAGACTCTCCCTGTCCCCCTCCTGTAAGGAAAAGGAACCAGGCTCAGAATAGTTGATGAGTGATTTCAGCCATGTGCATGTTCATGTGTGTACATTCAAGGCATAGCTCCCATCTATTCTTCCTGGTACATAAAAAAAAAATAAGATGCCAAGGACTGGGATACAGCTCAGTAGTACAGTATTTGCCCAGCAAAAGCAAACAAGTGTATGTATGTATGATTGTGTGTATATGTACATATGTGTGTGTATGTATATACATGATGCTCTTTGGTTTTTTTTTTTTGGTATTTTTGAGACAGGGTCTCCCTGTAGTCCCAGGTCTGTAGTCCCAGGTGGCCTGGAACTGGCTATGTAGACGGGGCTAGTCTGGAACTCACAGAGATTAGCCTGCCTCTGCCTCCCAGTGCTGGGATTAAAGGCATACGCCACCACACCCTGCCTATGATGGTATTTTTAAAATAAAGCTAACATAACATGGATACCAAACTTAGATAAAGTCAGCTCAGAAAATTACAGCCATTCTTAATTGATAGACATAGAGATACAGATCTTAAGTAAAATATTAGCAAGTAAAATCTAGTAAGGAGCAGGAAACTTAAGCAAAATCTATCCAAAGGGATGAAATTCACTGTATTAACACCCAAAGAAGAAAAATCTTGTAGTCATCTTAGTAGAGGATAAGAATGCATTTGATGAAAGTCAACACCCATTCATGAGAAAAACTCATAACCAGCCAGAAATAGAATGGACCCACCTTAGCTTGATAAAGCCTATCTCCCTGGAACCCACAGCAAACATGTGCCTCCCAGGGAGCTATCAGAAGGTCCCAAAGAAGCCAGGAATCAGATAAGCCTCCCCTTATCTGCACCACTGTTCACAATTGGAAGTTCTACTGGAAGCTCCAGATAACACAGCAAGACCAGGGGAAAAATGCCCTGCAAAACCAGTATCCCACTCAGAAATAACCATGTGTCTGTTTTGGTGCAGTTCCCTCTTCCTTTTTGTTTTGGAGACAAATTGGCCTCATTACCTAACCAAGGCTGGCCTTGACCTCCTGATGCCCCGCCTCTATCTCACAAATGCTGGGATTACAGGTTGGCCTTGCCACTCCTGACTTTTTCCTTGGTGCTTTAATTTTTTTTTTCCTACATGTATTTTTATTTTTATTTATTTATTCATTTTATTTATTTATTTATTTTGTCTTTTTGAGACAGGGTCTCCCTGTAGCCCCAGCAGTCCTGGAACTCACTATGTAGACCAGGCTGGCCTCTGCCTCGCCAGTACTGGGATTAAAGGCATGTGCCACCACTCTCAGCTTTTTTTTTTCCTACAAGGATTTTTTTGTTTTGTTTTGGTCTTTTTGAGACTGAGACAGGGTCTCTCTGTAGCCCCAGCTTGGAACTCACTATGTAGACCAGGCTGGCCTTGAACTCACAGAGATCCGCCTGCCTCTGCCTCCCAAGTGCTGGGATTAAAGGCGTGCACTACCACGCCCGGCTCTCCTACATGTGTTTTAAGTGTACCCTTGTTGTACAGTGCCTACAGACACCAGAAGAGATTCCCTGGAAACGGAGTTTTCAGACAGTTGTTAGCTGCCTTGTGGGTGTTAGGAACTGAATGGGGGCGGGGGCAAGAGCAGCCAGTCCTCTTCACTGCTAAGCCATCTCTCCAGCCCATTTGGCTTGGTTTTGTTTTTTGAGATAGGATCTCACTAAATATCTCTGGCTGGCCTGGAATTCAAGAGATCTGCCTGCCTCTGCTTCCCAAGTGCTGGGATTAAAGGCACATGCCGCCATGCTAGGCTTTTTTAAAAGTCTTGCTGTTTAATCTTGGCTGGCCTGGAACTTGCTAAGTAGACCAGGCTGGCCTTGTACTCGCAGAGGTTTGTCTGCCTGTCTACCTCATAAGTGCTTTTTAAATTTTTTTTTTTAATTTATTTATTTTTGTCTTTTTGAGACAGGGTCACCCTGTAGTCCCAGCAGACCTGGAACTCGCTATGTTGACCAGCTGGCCTCGAACTCACAGAGATCCACCTGCCTCTGCCTCCCAAGTGCTGGGATCAAAGGTGTGCACCACCATGCCCGGCCCCTAAGTGCTTTTTTTAAAGAAAACATGGGTTTTTAGGACTAGGGGCCCATAGTTATTGGGACTAGGGGTACAGCTCAGTGGTAGAACATGTGCTTCCCTTGCACAAAGCCTTGGGTTCCAGCACAAAAAAGAAAAAAGAGTTGGGTTCCTCCTGTGTGGCCTGCCTTTTTCCATTTACCCATGCCTGCTGTTGAGGTCCAGGGCAGTTGCTTCTCTAACTCTGTGCCCCACCCCTCCCTGTAGAAGAATGCCTGCTCCATGCTGAAGGATGGGACTGCAGGGTCACACTTCATGGCCTCCCCTCAGTGTGTGGGCTACAGCCGCAGCACAGCGACCCCCCTCACCATGACCATGTGCCTTCCTGACCTGAAGGAAATCCAGCGGGCCGTGAAGCTCTGGGTGAGGGCACTGAATGCCAAGTCGGTCTACATTGCCACAGACTCTGAGAGCTATGTGCCAGAGATCCAGCAGCTGTTCAAAGAGAAGGTGCGCCTGGCCAGGAGGATGTCAGCAAGGCGAGAGTGAAAGCCAGTGTCGGGTCCCGCGGCTTCCACTGCCGGCTTTACCTTCTCTCCACCAGCCCTTTGCCTGGTCATGCACTCTTCTCTGATTCCTAACTCCCCTTCTGTCCATAGTTCAACATCTGCTAATTCTCTCCAGTTTCCAGTCCACTTCAGTAGCTCACACATTCCTACTGGGACTTCTCATGGTTCTTTCTCTCTTCCCTTGAGGCACTTTCTAGAATTTTCTCCCAGAAGTGTGGGCTCCTTAAAGACAGAATCCAAAGCTAACCCAGTCTTCTGTTCCCTGAGGTCTACTCTGGTGCTTTGACCTCTGAGGATTGGGACTTGCTTTACCATCACCAGTGTCTAGCACAGTGTCTGACACAGTACAGTTGTTTTGTTAAGTGAGGACATAGAATGAACCCTGGGAAGGGTTCTGCAATAGCTGTAAGGTTAAGGATATGTACTCTGTTTAGTTTTGGTTTTGGTTTTAATACAAGGTCAGGTCTCATATAACCTGGTCTGGCCTTAACCTCCATATGTGGCTGAGATGACCTTGTATTACTGAGCTTGCGTCCATGTCTAAGTGCTGGGATTATAGACCTGTGCCATCATACGTGGCTTGAGCAATACACACTCTGCAGCCAGAAACCTTGAATTCTTCTCATCATGCAGCCAAGCAAAAGTTACTTGACCTCTCTTTGCTTCTGTTTCTTCATGGATAGAGTGGGAAGAACCTGTCTCCTTTGACATTTGTAAAGATCAGGCTTATGTAAAGATATTAAAACACTTCCCAATAATTTTAGCTGTTGTTAATAGTAGAAATAAGTGGTTAGTGAGTAAAGGGAAAAACTTTTCACGCTTAATGAATGTTTCAGGCAGTACTGCACAGACAATAATGTACGCTTGGCAGATGCTTACTGTATCAGCTGAAAGCAATGAGTGGATATGCATCTGTAGGGTAACTGAGTGTCTAGTCAGCATTCAGAGAGACTTCAGAATGACAGAGCCACAAATGCTCAGCAGGCCCTAAGAGGAAGATATTAGAAAGGTGATTTTTCTTTTCCATATGAAGCCAAGAATAATTTAGAGGTTGCCAAGGACTTATTTTAAAATATTCTTAAGTCTCTCACATTTAGGCCAGGTGGTGGCACACGTCTTTAACCCCAGCACTTAGGAGGCAGAGGCAGGTGGATCTTTGTGAGTTCTGGAAGCAGCCTGGTTTACATAGTGAGTTCCAGGTCAGCAGGGGCTACAGGTCTCTTTTTGAGACCCTGTCTCAAAAAGACAAAAAAAAACCCCCAAAACTCTCACATTTACAAATAGATAAGAAAGTATGACTATTTTATTTTTCATATGAATATTTGTTTTATTCATATGAATATTTAAAATCAAGAAAAAAAGTAGCCAACATTGGGAGCCATCGGCTTATGTCCAAGCCCTCCCTTTTATTTTCTTATTCAACCTTCCTTCCTAAAAAAAGGGAAGCCCAGCCAATGAGGAAGTGCTAGATGGGTGTATTCTGGTTTGTCCTGCCATTTCTTAGATAAAAAACTAGCTGCAGGACCTCAGGGTCCTCTCACTCTGCCCCTGCTTATAGTGAGGAAACCAAAATCCCAGGGAGGGGCTGAATTTATCTAAGAGGGCCCGGAGCTGCTTACAGTAGGCAAGACAGAGCCAGTAAGTTTCAGGGAGTGGGTGGGATTGTTTGGGGGATTTTGGCTGAGATTCAACTGGTAGTGTCTTTGCTACAATCCAAACATCAAGGTGATGGTTTGTGACGTCAGAAATCTTGGTGGAACAGCAAAGCACTTCCAGGCAGCTCAGCCCACCCCTCACCTCTATGAAGCCAAAGCATCTGGGGAGTCCCAGGGAGTTTTTATGAGCTTTAGGCTTGATGTGCCTGTTAGGCCTTGAGCCTCTTGCAGTTTCCTACTTCCTGTTCCTGTGCTGGTGCTCTCACCCCCCCACCCCCAACTCTCAGCCCCATTTTCTGTGGGCCCATATCCTACCCTGTTCCTTTTTTTCTTCGTGTGTGTGTGTGTGTGTGTGTGTGTGTGTGTCTGCCTCAGATACCATCTTTTGTTTTGAGATCTCTTTGTTTTGGGTCTCTTGCTGGCCTGAAACTCACCAAGTATGCCAGGCTATCAGGCCAGCAAGCCCCAGGAACTGCCTGTCTGTACCTTTCCCAGTGCTGGGATTATAAGCACACACTATTGCGCAGGCTTTTTTAATGTGGGTTCTGGGGATCAGACTCAGGTCCTCTTGGTTGCAAGGCAAATACTTTATAGACTAGAGCTATCTCTGCAGCTCCCTGCCCTTCTTCTGAGTGCAGCCATTAAGCTATAACCATTAAGCTGGGGACCTAGATCAATGAAATGTGGTCCTGCCCTCAGGGGCACAGCCCAGACTGGGAATAGACTTTGCAGGTGGGCAGGCTGGAGTGGGGGGAAAGTTTGTTCAAACGGAATTTGTTGAGGCCAACTCTAGGCCAGACCTGGCCACAGCAGTGGAGAGCAGACCAATTCAGCTGCAGTCTCAACTGGGTGCAGAACAGAGTGTTAATCAGAGAATCAAGCCAGGTGTGGTGGCGCACACCTTTAATCCCAGCACTCGGGAGGCAGAGGAAGGTAGATCTCTGTGAGTTCAAGGCCAGCCTGGTCTACATCCTGAGTTCCAGGACAGCTGAGGCTACAAAGAGACCCTGTCTTAAAAAAAAAAAAAAAATCAGAGAATCAAGAAGTGAAAACTACAAGCGGAGACTTGGGCTCCTAAGAGGGACAGCAGGGCTTTGAGATGTAGAGCAGAGGGCTCCAGCCTAGTGGGGGTTAGGAAGGGCTTCCCCAGAGTATGCTACACGATCTGAGAAGTGAAGGTAAATAGGAGTTAGCTAGGTAAGAGAGCTTCACCCCTGATAGAGGAGCAGTATATGTAAAGGTCTCCAGGAGGAGCAGGCAGAACTTGGTAGCTAACAGCTAGAATTCCCAAGGACAGTGGGAGTAGGCAAGCTAGCCTCAGCAGGGCCTGGTCAAGCACCTTTGTGATTCGCCATCCTTATCTGAAAGGCAGTAGGGCACTAGTAAAGGGTAACCAGCTAGGAGGACTAGGAGATGGTTGTCTCAGGTTTCCTATGGCACTTCCATAGTGACCAGGAGAGGCAGTGAGGGACAGTGAAGAGGCTGTAGGAGTCAGTCAGATAGGAGAAGGTACTGTCCCGGCCCAGGGAGAGGCAGTTCCTCATAGGAAGGGACTTAACCTTTGTGAAGATCTCAGGGATGGGTAGATTGGGCCTGGGATGGTGCTTGAGAGGACAGCATCCAGGCAGCAGGACTGGGTGGGTGCATGCTTTCTGCCCCTATCTCTAGCATGGAGGCAGCCCTGCAGGCTAGGGCTTTTGAGCAAGGTTTTATGAGCTGAGCCTTGAAAGGCTTCTTGGGAAGATTTTGCTTTTGATGCTGGGAATGGAAGCCAGGGCTTTATGCATACTGAGGTCATACTCTACCCCTAAGCTACATCTCCAAACCTGGTCAGACTTTTAATGGGTGGAGAAAGGCATCGCAGGCAGAGGAATAGGCACAGGTGGAGATGGTGCTGTTAGGGCAGAGGCTAGAGGGGCAACGCTTGGGTGGGCCGGACAGTGGCTGGTCACACTTCTCTTAGACACTGACCCTAATCATTCTCTCCACTCTTATCTAAACTCTCAGTCCAGTGGGGGAAGGTTGAGAGTAAGGCCTACTGGCCTTAGCTGAGCTGGCCTTGGCCTGTAGGCACCTGCTAACACTCTACCCTTCTTCTACAGGTGAAGGTGGTGAGTCTGAAGCCTGAGGTGGCCCAGATCGACCTGTACATCCTTGGCCAGGCTGACCACTTCATTGGCAACTGTGTCTCCTCCTTCACTGCCTTTGTGAAGCGGGAGCGGGACCTTCATGGGAGGCAGTCCTCCTTCTTTGGGATGGACAGGCCCCCTCAGCTGCGGGACGAGTTCTGATCCTGGCTAGAGCCCCCCAGCTAGCACCCAAGGGTGCTCCCAGAACTGTAAGTTCCTTTTCTCTCCTGTCAGAGATGGAGAACAGTACCAGGGGCTTCTTGGAAGGAGACATTCCAGCCCAGGGCTCAGGACCCCCAAACCCCACAGCCAGAGCAGTCCTTACCTCATGTGTTTCTGGGAATGCTCACACCACAGAACAGGTCACACTCTGACCTCTGGCCCACTGTGCTCTGAGCAGCCTACAGTGCTGAACTCTCTCTAGAGCAGTTATTTTATAAAGAGAAAGATTTTTATAGGGTTTTTCTTGAGGGGTAAGGGGCAGGAATGAGGTTGAGATGATCTCATACAGCCCAAGCTGGGCTTGAGCTCCTTATCTTTCTGCCTTTACTTCCCAAGTGCTGGGATTACAGGAATGCACCAACACACCCAGCTGATTTTTACTTTTGATACAGAGTCATGACTACCTTGAACTCTTCTTGTTTTTAGAAAAATCAGTGAAGTTCATTAGCATATACACCTAAAGTGACCTTAACTAAATACAGATGAAACCATGACTGGGTAGATCTATTGGCCATTTCTCCAGGGATCCCCCAAAGTGGCCCTCAGGCTCATCCCCACTGTTAGGCCCCAGCCATTGTCATATACCAGCTCTTTGGGGCGAACACTAGGCAGACAGGAATCAGCAATTGCAGTGTTGTGGGATACTCCCTATATCCAAGGGAGGATAAAAGTCACTCCCACAGCATGTTCCCAACTGGCTGATCCTGTTATTACTCCTAGGCTCAGCCCCATTAGGGCCTCAGCATTTATCACTGGGGGCCAGGTCTGGTGGTCTGCCAGGGTACTCTGAAGCCTGCTCTCTCCAAGACCCCTGTCCCAGCCCCAGATCATCTATTCCCCAAGGGGTATTTGCCAACTTTCTGACATGTAAGTGCCCAGGAGCCATCTGAAGTCCCAGGTTGGAAGCAAATGTGTCGATGCCCTGAGGTATTCCAGTCCTAAGGACTTTCAGCCTTGTGATGTTCTCACACTCCTGAGAGCCTGAGACTTTTGACCATATGCCTCTAAACCCTGTGTCTAACACCCATGGAACTTTACCCTGCCACATATCTCCCTCAGCCTTCACACCTGCAGCTCCATGTAGGGGCTTATTCTTCTGTCAGGGAAGACTGGGTCCAAGGTCACAATAGGCTTTCTACACCAGAGTTGGCATTTACTGCTTAGAACCTCTGCCCAGCTCTAGGCAGAAGGAACTACATAGAAAGGGCCTTTGTAGCTTTCCTTCTTGGGAAGTGTGGGAGTTTTGATCTTGGTGGGCTCAGGGATGGCTTGTCTGTCCAGACTTGCTCTCTACCTCACCCAGAGGAAGGGCCGTAGACAAGGGGTCCTCTGCACTTAACACCTCCTTGGAGTTCAGTTGCCAGGCCCTACATTACACAAGGCACAGGCTTAGAGACTGGGCTCCTGTAGCTATGCAGGCCATCCTGATTGGCACCATGTTCCTGCAGAAAGCATCAGGGCTTTTGAGAGAATTGGCCATGCCTCTGGACAAGTACTTTACTCAGGCCCAGCTTTCTCACCTGTAAGATGGTGGTAGATCTAGGGGCTTGTTAAAAGACTTCAGTCAGCTAACACAGGCACACTGTAAACCTGAAAACAGCAAGGCCCCTAGATGGTCATTGGTGTGACTGCTGCTTTCTGAATACCTGCTCCAAGCCAGGCACTGTGCTGAGTGCTTTTTGGGCATCCTGTTGAGTTTCCACCCAGGCCCTGGTATTAGCCTTTTCTTCCTGACAAAAAACAAATGCTCAGAGAACTCTACTTTTCCCAAGGCTGCATGACTAGGGATGGTGAGCCAGGTCTGACCTCTCAAAGTCAGTTCTGTCAGCCGTGTGCTCTGCTGCCGTTGCCTCCCAGGATGCACCATGCACTGTGCACAGGGCTGTGGAGGCTGTAGGAAAAGGATCAGCCACTGGCTTCTACTGCATACCTGCTAGGGCCTTCCTGGAGCTAGCTCTAGGAGGAGCTCACACAAGAAAAAGGAAGCCCATATGTAGCTTCTGGCCCCTTGGATAGTTACCTAGTTCAACATTCATTTTGTGGGTATTTATTGATCACCTACTGTGTGCTGGACTCTGCTAGGTAGAAGGGGTGCAGCAGAGAAACAGTTCTCTCAAAGGATTTGCATTCTAGAAAGGAAAGCAAAGTAAGTGTACTGTGGAGGAAAGTGCTATGAGGAAAAATCAAGGGTACAGGGGAACAATTTTAAGTAAAAGGAGTTTTCTTTAGGAGTGAAGGAGAAAACTCAAGACAACAAAGTAGCACATTCCCAGCAGAAAGGATGGTGTGTGCCAAGGCCCTGGGGCTGGAATTTGTGCCTGTAAAGAGCAGCAAGGAGTCAGGGTAGCAGGTTGAGGGGCTGGGAGTAGTTGGTGACACTCACCTAGGCTTGTCTTCTTGGAGAGCACCAAAGGCCTTTCTTCACAGGTTCTGGACAGAAGAAGGGGAATCCAGTGATTGTGAAGGACCCTTTAGCAAGCAGGTGGAGAGGAAGTGGAGGGGGTGGGGATAGCAGAGACTGGTGTGCAACCAGGGTTGAGCAGTCAGGCTTCACGCACCTCTGCACTAGAATCCTCCCAAGAGGTAAAGACCGTTGTGCTGAGTATGGTAGAAGATGGTCAGGTTCTGAGTATGTCAAGTTATTTTTATGACTCACTTTAAAAAGATACCAGTCTTTATCATTTTAATCATGCAGTATTTACAGTTTAGTGTCTCAGTTTACTTAACAGCATATCATATTTCCCCTGTTAGCACATAGCCTGCGTAATTTTAATCCTATAAACTTCTAATTGAGAGGATTCCATAGTTTATGTATGGTTTGCCTTTTATGAGACCTGAATGCGTTCCCAGTTTTTTACTATTGTGATTTGAAAAATGTTACTTGCAAAGATCTGTATTTAAAATACAGATGAAAAATTCCCAGAAGTGGATTTGTTAGATACAAGACTTAAAATTCTTATCATGAGAAAATTTAAATAGGAACAAAAATTGTTAATAAACAGCTTGCAATTTTAACAATTGTCAGCCTTTTACTGGTTGGTATCATTTACTCCCCCACTACCAGGTCTGTTTGTCCTCTGGAATTTTCTTTTCTTTTGGTACATAATGTAGCTGAGGCTGGCCTTAAACTCCTGATCCTCCTGCCTTATCCTCCCAAGTGCTGGGGTTATAGACAAGAGTCACCACACATGGAGTTTTTAAAGCTTGTACGCATGGGTGCATAGGGAAGAGCCAACAGGGATGCTGCCACATGGGAAGGAGGGAGAGGAGCTCAGCATGCTGCCAGGGCTGGGGCCCGAGCCACAGGGACAAGTTGGCCTCATGACGGTTGTTCCTCTCCTGTAATTTGCCTCCAAATCCCAGGTGCTCGCCTTTCTGTGAATCCTACAGGACAAGGCAGCTTGCTGAGAGCCACCCACACCTGACAATACAAGTGGGAGCAGAGGGCCCAGGAATCTGTATTTCTCACGAGCACCTACCTGGAGGAGCTACTTAGAAACACAGAATAGAGAATCCCAAGGACTGGAGAGATGACTCAGAAGAGCACTGTCTGTTCTTGCAGAGGACCAGGGTTCAGTTCCCAGCACCCATATGGTAGCTATCAGCCATCCATAACTCCAGTTCCAGGGGATCAGATGCCCTCTTCTGACCTCCGTGGGCATTGCACAACATGGGTGCATTTACATACATGCAGGCAACACACTCATACATATAAAAATAATAAAGTATTTTTTAAAAACAATACATCCTCCCAGCCAGCCAAGCCTTGTGGCTCATGCTTATATAATCTCAACTACTTCAGAGACAGGCAACTTAATTGAGACCCTGCCTCAAAATGAAAAGGTTCGGGGGTCTTATGGCCATTGCGTGCATGTGACACACTTAACTACATGCAGGCAAAACATGCACAAAGTAGAAATAAAGATTTAAAAGTAGATTTTAAGAAGCTGGGGGTGTAGCTCAGAATGTCTGCTTGCTATAGGTAAGACCCTGGATTTAATCCCCAGTAATATAAGAAAAAAAAAAAGGGTAGTATTCCAGTTACACACTAGATTAATGGCAAAGCTGGGTCTTATACACAAGCCTTTGGATGACAAGCCTGGTGTATTTCCCAAAGGATCATCCAGTCTCAGACCCTCTTTTCATAGTTGAAGAAAGACAGGGTTCACTGCCATAAGTAGGCAGTTCTCTGCCTCTTCCTGTCCCCCAGCCCTACATCTTTGGCTCCAGGCCTTGGCCTCTCTAGTCCCCTAGAGGCAGAAGGGAGTTCCATCCCAGTAGACTAAGTACTCAGGGTTCCTGTTTGTTCTCTGGCTACAGCTGGGAAGATGGTCTCACCTTGAGCAAACAGCCTGGGAAAGTCAGGGGAGGTGGAAAGGAAACTTCTAGAAAGGCACTGTGTAGAGGGTTGCCAGAGTCACTCCCAAGACTGCTTCGGCCCCCTGCCAAGGCCCTCCAAGACTCCCAAAGCATTTCGAGGCACAATTCTGTGATTCTTCTGACAGCCCTGTGTCCACTGATGGCTCACAGTTGAAGAAACAGCTTCAGAAAGGGTGTGTGGCTTCCTGAGATGGTATCGCAGTTATCACCACTTACCTGTGGTGTGTCAGCTTTGATGGCAGTATTAACTCTCCCAATGAGCCTACAAAGCGGAATGAAGTCACACATTGGCTTAACAGGCTGGGACCAGCATGAATATGTACAACTTTTTTTGTCTTTTTTTTTTTTTGAGACAAGGTTTCCCTGTAGATCCAGCTGTCCTGGAGCTTACTATGCAGACCAGGCTGGCCTTGAACTCACAGAGATCGCCTGCCTCTGCCTCCCAAGTGCTGGGATTAAAGGCGTGCGCCACTACGCCTGGCTTGTATGTGCAATTTTTAAAAATGGAGTTGGGGGGCTGGAGAGATGGCTCAGCAGTTAAGAACACCGGCTGTTCTTGCAGAAGACCTGGGTTTAAATCTCAGCACCCACATGGCAGCTAACAACTGTCCACAACTCCAGTCCCAGGGGATCTGACAGCCTC